GTGTCTAGAAAACAAATACATGAATAAACTAATGATTTACCTTTTATTCTTTATAGTTTATGATTTGTTTGTCAATCCTTTTGCTATTTGGGAGGATGGCATTTAACCAGCAGTTCGACTTCTCTACCAGAAGGTGGTTTGCGTACGCATGGTCAAAGGTGTGCATAAATTAATGCACATTCTCAACTGTACTGTGAGTACACATTGATGAATCCCCACTCTACTTATAATTGATTGCACGCATGGTTAACGAACAGTCTGTAACATTGATAAATGAGGGCCCGGGACACCATTCAAAATATACAATGATTTATTAAAAACAAAAATACACACATATATATATGTATATATATATATATATATATATATAATATATATACTATACTGTACTGTATATATAAAGCTTTTCCTTTCCAACACCAGCAAGACAAGACATGAAAAAGTATGCAACAACCAATGGCATGGATAAAACTTCAAAGAGGGTACATTATGGGAAACATAATTCTCTTCAGTTTGAGTGGATTTTTCAGTTTCAGGTGTTGTTTAAATGCCGGTTAAGTATGGACTTGCTTTAACTGCGCAACCACATTTTTGACATGAGCAATGTGCATAAAAAGGACTGACGTCAAGGTCTGAATCAGGCTGGTAGGTTTTGATCAAATTCTAATGCATTAGTAGAGACTGGTGTGAAGCTCTAGTTGACAAAGAATAATTTCTGGACAAAATAAACATTTGGTATATAAAAAAACACCAACCTGATTCACAGATATACAATAGTCATAAATAAAAAATAGAAGAGTAAGAAAATGCCCCTTCCCCACTACACATCAGAAGAATTTGAGGAACAGTTTCACATTAAAGGGAGACTCCCAATTTTATACATAAAGATCAGTTACGAGTCATGTGGAGGACAACTCAGCCTTTAAAAATGGTTGTATTATGTCTACTAAGACTAAGGAGGAGTCTAAGAAAGTACGTTTAGTGCTATTGTTGGGTTCAAACAAACTCAGACAGAAAGTCTGGAGCGTCGCTGAACAACAGGTTTAACAGAATTTATCTGTTGTCATTGAAGTATTGTTTCTAAATGTATGGAGACCCCAGTAAGAGTACCCACTGCTGCAATACATTGGCTACAGGGGATCAAAATAGATTTAAAAAATAAATAAACAGAATTTACCATCAGGGAACGCTTAACAAAACAACAATATCACATCACAGGAAGTTTGGCACCCATTATTTTTCGAGCTTGGCACATATTAGGGATTAAGAATTGGGATAACTAAGCCTCCAATGCCTCAATTGTATTTTACAACTTTATGGAGTGCAGTGATTAATTGCAAGAGTACAGCCTTATATTTTCAGAAGAACACTTGAACACAAGAAGATGCTTAAAAAAACAAGAATAACAAATTATCTAAATAAGTACACTGTGTTTTTGTTCCAGAGCTGCAGATCAGGCAGAGCGCAGAGGAAGTAGTTCATCCAGGGAAATTGACGAGTTGAATCCTGCAAAACAAATGACACAGAGAATGAGGGTAAGGGCCAGTTTCTGAATACACAGATAGGAAATGAGTGGGGGCAACTGAACCTGCTTAATATCAAATGTCTTGTCTGTACCAACAGCACTCACAGAACTTGTTTTATTCATGCTGTGACAAAGGCCCTGCAGATTTTCCTGTATGAGACATGCTATAAAATTCAACAAACTTGTCAGTACATAGTCTGTTATCAATCCTGCATTTTATTCTCCTGACATTTCATATCCAGTCATTCCATCCAGCCTCTTTTTATCTTATTCCTTTCACCTGCACCTTCCTCTGCCTTCTGTGCCTATCCAGTTGCATTCCCTCTCCTTCTAGATTGTCAAGTGTTTCCCAGTATTCAATTCCTGTTTTCCTGCCAGCATTTTCCCCAACCTTTGGATTGTTTTTTAGATTTCCTTCCCTTGCACCATTGTTTGATTTACAGACCGATTAGCAGGTTCGACTCCTTCCCCGTCATTTTTTTTTTTTTTTGTCTGACCAACAAAACTACTGTTACCTGAACTTGACTGTGTTTGTTGTCATGCTTGTGGGTTCGAGCCTGTCTCCTAACATTACGATTGGAATTCCTCACCATCCTGCTTAAAAATATTTCCAGACCTCTGCACACTTGCGGGGATTGTTAAGAGAGCAATTACTGCCGATATAGATAGAGTGCTTACATTCATTACAATTCCTCCCTGACGGGTAAATATTTTGTTTTAAAGCTGGGGAAACAGCTTCAGGACATATAAAAGTTAGATTTGTTTATCATCCTTTCTGAATCCTTTTTTTTCAGTGGCACGTGTCAGATGGACTTCAAACAACATAAAGATCCATAACACTTCAAAAGTAGGTGCAATATAGAACATAAAAAAGTACAACACAAAATAATTTTGGTCTGAATAATGAAAACATACCTTTTAATCTATGCTTTCATGCTTGACATAAACACATTTAGGATCATCAGCCATATTACTGATGGAGAGGTGCTGTTTCGCGTCTGAAAGGACGAGGTATCCCGCGGATGCGACAACAGATTTCAGGCCGTAATATGCACCGCGTCTGTTGTTTACCATCTCAAACCAGTAACTTTCAGGTAAAGCATCTGGAACATCACTCCTCACCAACTGTAAACACACAAAACAAAAATGTTAAGCAATTTTTTGGGCCCATTTTTAGGCAGAAAAGCTCATACAATAATACAATATATTCCAGGTACTTTTTCTTTAATTTGCCATAATCAGACTTTTTAGTTGATGTCAGGTGATACTGTTCCCCAAAATCTATGTTTTTTTAATAAACGGTCACACCCTGTAGAATTGTTATTTAAATGGTTATTTTAATGTCAGTAGTGTTCCTTCTTCTTGTAGAAATCAGCTGTCATCAGAAATGAGGCCATGGTTGGCAACCTCTGAAAATCTTTTATCTATATCCTTGTTCAAGATGATCCGCCCACACTGGACAGCTGTGGCATATCAAGATGCTGATTACACAGCATGATTATTACCCAGGTGTGCTTTGCACTGGTCACAATAGAAGGCCACTTTTTAAATTTTTGTTTATCAGGTTTTTGATTGATTGATCTTCAGTGGCTGTGCCTAAGTTGCTCGGCAGTCACTGAGTTGGAATTATACTGTTGTACTTGGCAGATCCGGAGCATCCCAAACTTGCTCAGTGGGTGACATTGGCTTCCAGGAATTTGTGTACATCATGCTGCAACATAAGCAATGGCAGCAGATGAATGGTCAGGACAGTGGTCACTCAGGATCTTGTCACTGTATCTGTGTGTCGTTGTCCTTTGGTGTTTCATAGAAAGAAAGTCTTAGAATCTTTTATTTTCACTCATGAAAAATAGGGAGTTAAAAAACAAAAGTGTACATTATATTCTATTAGTCTAGCACATTATTGCTGGGTTAATCCAACACTGACCCACAGTCCAAGAGAGGAAATTAATTTAATCAACAGGCTGCAAAAATCAGATTTCTAAACAGCATAATTTCTAGCTTTCGTCCACCACTACTGGGGCTACCGGATTTAAAAGCTCTGTAATTGGGTGATTCTTGCTGAAATGCAACCTGATACCGATTGTACTGATGATTTCACCAGGTGAAGTTTCGTGCCAATCCATTGTGCAACTGTGAGTTATGTAACACTGTCTACATGAATAATAAATTCATGTGCGATGCCTCTTGCAACCTGTAGTCAATTTAAATATAGTGAAAGTGAACGTGTTATATATATAACTATATATTAATATTATTACTTCACCTATATATATATATATATATAGAAAGTGAAAGTGTATATATATACACTTTCACTTGGTGCATTTTTCAATGTTTCAAAATAGCAGCAGTAATTAATGGTTTATAGGGCTCCAGCTTTGAAATTATGTTTACATGTCACTAATTCCAATATATATACATATATATATATATGTATATACTGTATATTGTGAAAGGTTTATTTTACCTCCAGCTTGTCCTTCATCTTGTTTTCAGCAGAGGTGTCCTTAACCACCTTTGGGAAGTAGTAATCACCAGTTCCACACTTCCAGCCGAAAGCCACCTGCTTTTTGTTTCTTCGGCTCCATATGTATACCTTGTGTTCTACCAATACAAGCAAAACAACATACTTACTGTGTGCCAGTGAGTCAATACATTCTCAATAATAATGCCTCAATAATCCATAATCATTCAAAATCTGATTAAGATAAAACATAGCCACTCATTATAAAGAATCCTAATCAAAGATTTTTTATTGGCACCTGAAGTGTAATTGCTATGACTTTTTATTTACTGAATCAATTAATCATTTTATTGGATTTATAAAGTCTATCAATAAAGTTATGATTGTAAAGAATATTGTTTCTGCTTGTATCAGACCTAGATCAAAGTCAAATTTTGAATCATTCCACACTGTAATGTAGGAATTAGAAAACATATATATATTATTTATCAAGCACTGACGAGCAGTTAATTTGTTATTTTGAAACAGTAGTGATCATTAGCAAAAAGTTGTACCTTCTCCAGTACTTTGAACGTCTTCAACACACAGTCCCATTTGACCATTGACATTCTTGACTGTCACCAATTTCCCTTTGTCGCTCTTAAGCTTCAAACTGTTTGACTTTTCCATGTTGTCTCCTCAGCGGCGTTCTGACATAAGGGGGAGGATAGAAAAACAATTAATTAGTCTTAGTCAGAAAAGCAATCTGCAGTCCTCAAGAAGCTTCATATACTCGAGTTTTCCAAGAGAACAGAACCAAAGTGTTGTTTGACATTGAAAGAAAACGTTTGTCCTCATACTTTGCCCTTAATTGTATTCTCAGCTACCCATTACCTTTCAGCTGTGGGAACTTTGAAAGTTTAGGGCTTGTCTTGAAACTTTACTTCACTGATTGTCAAGGCTCAAAACAAATCTGTTTGCAGCTGAGTGGAGTATCTCTCCAAAGCCATAGCAAGCCTTTCATGTATGTTGATTTTTGTCGAAAATATACAATAACAGGTACCCAGTACTCCAGCACCCCATCCCCCCATCCTCACCACTAATGAAACAGATGAAATGGTTGACAGCTTCAAATATCTCACACTGACTGGACAATAAACTCAACTTTGACCAGCACACAAAGGACATACAAAAGTCAGAGTCATACAAGAGTCATCAAAGACAAGCACACATCTGGAACACTCACACGCCAATATAACACTAACAACCAACACTGCTGCCAAAATCACGTCCCCCTACACCCAGCCTACACCCTTATCATAGAGCAGCATTGCAAATACCACAACAGCACAGGATATCACACACTTCACTCCTTTGGACCTAGAAGGGTTTGCATTGGCAGAAGCCTGACACAGCTTTAAATGCATCTCATACTAAAATCCTGCAAACAAAAGCGTTTGCAGGATTATAAATACATACCCTTCAAATATGTCTTAATAAATAAGAGATTGATTTCTTTTTAAATAACCATCTGTTTAATGCAATCCATCACAACTGCCCTGCTACTACCTTACATAACATTATACAGGTACTGCTTTGATTGTGTATCATAAAATTTGAAAAGGAATTCTTGCCACTGAATCCAGGTGTAAACATACCGCACCTTTAAATTCTTCTGCAACAGCAAAACAAAATGGAATTAAATTATTAATAATATTCTTAACTTAATAATCTGCATATAAGTACTCAAGTAAGATTTTCAGTGGACTTGGACTGGCTAAACTGAACTTTGACTCAAATCCTCCTGCACTGCCTCATGGCTGCATGGCACTTGCAGTCTACAAGTGCAGAACAGTCTGAGGGACAGGGGACAGGGACACTGAGATACAGCAGGAAACCAGGAAAACAAGCATATAATAGGCCAGGATAAAAATTTCATTTTTATATAGTTTTTTCTCTCTATTTTAGCATCAACAAAGTGAAAAATAGATTTGTCACTAAAACTTCTACTGCAGGTTAGACTCGTTACACAATTGCAATACTTTGCTATAAAAAAAAATTAAAAATAAAAAAAAACTGAGATGAATGCATCTTAGCGAGAAGTCGTACATTAACTTTCCCTCATTTTATTCCAGCACTTAAACAGCTACACACAGTATAATAGGTGAAACTACGGCACCGCGACGAGAGTTGATATTACAGGAGGAATGCAAAGCCCATGTAAAGCCAACGTGCATGTTTCAAAATAATACAGCAATCACTTACCGTCAACGAGTCTTGAAAAACTGCGAAGTTGGAGCTCAGGTTCATAGAAAGGGCAGCTGGTATTCATGCATGCAGCACAGAGGTGCGAACCTTTTTAAGACGACCGGCCGGCCCCACTGACGCGGGCACTCACGCACGTAGTGTGCGTCTCCCTGTGACTGGAGGAGAGGGCGATGGGGATGGACTTGATTGCGTTTACCGAAGTAAGTCATTTAAACTACACGCGATTTCACCAAGAAAGTGGGATGTTGTGAAATCCATTAATTCACTTAGAGGAGGATTTTTTTTCTTTCTTCTATTTCCTCACCTTATCTTTTACTGTAGTCTGTACTTCACTGAGATAGGCCCTTGGCTCCTTACTGAAAACTTAAATTGACCCCTAGATTGTAAACACCAGATATGAATTTTAAATTGGCTATAAACTGTTCTCAGTTCAGGGCAAACAACGGCCCCTCTGACCTTGCCCTACTTTCTGACTGAACACACCCCTTTATCGTGCAGGGGGGGGGGTTTAGGAAAGTGGTCAGGCTGGGGTTCATTGTTCGTTGTTTTCATATTGTTCCTGCACATTTGTAACATTTCACCATCATAAAAACCAGTTAATATATTGTTATATGGTCCTAAACAGAGCCATAAAAAAGTTTTCTCATGCTTCAGTAGCTATAAGCACAAACATTCAATAAACACTTTGCAACAATTCAAGCCAAGACACTTTAAATGACATTTTCCTAATTATAAGATATAATCCAGAGAGCATTAAGTTTCCAATAAAAAATAATTTGCTGTTCAGAATCAGTGACATATAAACATAATTTCAAAGCTGGAGCCCTATAAACCATTAGTTACTGCTGCTATATTGAAACATTGAAAAATGCACCAAGTGATCAACTGAATCAAATAGAAAGGGTATTAATATATTTTTACAACCGGCACCTCTACAATACAAGCTTATAGATAAAAACTCTAGAGCTCCCTACTGGCTGAGTTAAAATAGTGATTTAATGGTTCTTATTGCCAAATAGATTTGCAAGTAATCAAATCATCACAACTGAATTGCCAAACTAGGAGTCTGTGGGTTTGCAATTTATTTTAAAGCTATCAGTTTATTTTAATAAAGTTAAAAGATCACCCTCGACAGCAAGTCTCGATTACTGAAACTATCTCCGCTGAGTCAGAGGCACTGATGCTTAGCAGGTTTATGATTAATCCACAATAATACTTATGGGTTATGTAAAACCAACAATAAAAGTGTGTTTCTTAAATAAACTCAAAATAAGGTTATAGATGTAAAGCTTTTAGAATTTCTAATGTACAAAGGAGTCTGGACTCTTGTATAGAAATAAGACATTTTTAAAAAGTTGAGTTAAAAGCCCATCAATACAAATCCTTCTTGGATGTGAGGAATCACAACCACTGGTTGAGGGCTTGTCTGCACTTGTTAGGAAGAGCCAATCTGATCTACTATGTTCACACGAACATGATAACCTATTAATGACTGTATCACTGATACGTTCTTGCCATACGCACAATCAAAGGTGATATGTATTGCTCATCATTTGATACCAGAATGTTTGAATTTAATAAGTGATTATGTGGTATTCTAAAATTACCTATGTCAATGATGAGAAATCATACAACTACAGCCGGATGAATTTGTGTTGCAACTGTGTTATTGTGTAATTTTATCAGTTGCATGTTGAATGATATACTGATGTAAACATTACTAAATGCTGCTGGTGCCACATGCATTGTTACATACTATTAATACTAAACAGAGGTGGACAAAGTACAAAACTTCAATACTTGAGTCAAAGTATAGATCCTCCTGGTCAAACATCCCACCAATACATGTGAAAATCGTTCAGTGAAATTTGTACTTGAGTTTAAAGTACTGGATTACTTGCTTTTAAAAATATTTAAGTATTCAAAACTAAATTTTTTGTTCCACAGTGCATTTGTTGAACCTACTGACTCTGAAACAATCTACTGAATACAATGACTGACTGTAGAACCAGTAGAATAAAAAGCTTGTACAATATGCTACAAAGCCTGTATAAATGGCCAGAAAAACACAACTGAATCAACAAAAGGACACCTGGTGTCATTTTAATATTTCTATTTTTTTTTTTTTGCAGTGGTGGAGTTTGGTCATGCTAAACACAGCAAACATTTAAAATGAAAGGAGTCTTTCTTCATTTCTAAAACTTCAAACATGGATTTAAGATAAGGGCATGGGTGGTCTGGTGAAGAACCTTATCTTTATCTAACAAAGCCATCATTTGGACACTGCTAAGTTCAAACTGAGCTGTTCAGAGTTGGCTGTGATTGTTTGGTTTTTTTCCTGTGAGGAACACAGAGTATGGTCTACCATATTTTCAAAATAAAATAAAATTCATTCCACAGACTAAATCCTCTGCTTTAAAGTAACGAGTATTTCATAGAAATGTAGTGGAGTCCAAGTACAATATTTGTCTTTTAAGTGTATTGGAGCAAAAGTCATACATTTCAAAAATACTCATGTGCAGATACTCCAAAAATATACTTAAGTACAGGACTCAAGTAAATGTACTTTGTTACTGTCCACCCCTGACAATAGGTACAACTCTGTGTGATTCATAATTCATAATTTCCTTCCACAAGATCTGGATTATTATCTGGATCTGCAATTGTACAAATGTCAACAACATAAATATGTCTGCTTTTTACATCAAGACACACACACATCATTTCCTGAGATATTGGCAAAAATGTCTGTAAAAAAGTGTATATCTGATATGGATTAAAAACTCAATGGCACTAGTATATAACCTGGTCTGCGTGAATATTTAAAGTTAATCTTTTTAAAACATTATTATAGGATAAGATCAGTATAAGCAAGTATTATGTCAGAACATGTTACTCAGTAGTTATTTCTACATTATGGCATGACTACTCAGTAGACTCATCTTTCAACTTGACCTTCAGTTTGATGTCAACACATCAAAATTTAGGCCAGGTTACACCTGCAAAGTTTCGAGACCGTATCTTGCACAGGTGGTATGGAATCGCGGTTACGAAATCTGTTCACAAACATGTAAACACTTGCTAAAATCTTCAAAACCACCTGTGTGGTAGTTCCCACTACAGGAGGTATCTCCAGGACCACACTGAGCCATGATGACACACACAGACTCATAAGGTGAAAACAATGCGGGTCATGTTGTTGTTGCTGATAATCATCAATGGAGATCAGGTTGTCATTATTCTTAACTTCAGTTACATCTATTGACACATCCATGTTCTTGGAAATTGGTACATCTTTACGTTTATGTAAGATCTGATAAAAACACAACACAAAACAACTGTTTAAACATTAAAATGAGCCAGTCCATTTTCTATTTTCATGTCATTTTACATCCATTTCTCATATCAAGATTTACTATATCATATTATTATACTATGATTTATCTCACTCATTCATCACAGTTAATTTACAACACCCTTCCCTCATGTCGTAGGTTTGAACTCAGAATGAAGGGGTTAGTTTGTGCAGTCCAATATGGAGCTGGCCTTGTGGAGAACCTGGGCCAGTAGATCCCAGTAGTAGGGTGGATTAAGGGTGGATTTCAGGAACAAAATGTAATTTAAATTAACTTCAAACTGGTCAAATAAACAACATTTACCATGTAGTATACTGTATATACATTTATTTATTTATATTTTATAAATTATTTTTTTAACCATTACAGTGATAAAGTAGATCAAGTAGAAATCAGGCTATTACACGTTTCAGCACAGTAAGGTAAGAAAAAAAGATTTTGTTCCCCTAAAATAATCCTCCAAATAGCTTTCAAAATCAAACAAAAATTATTCAATTTTAACTTTCATTTGACACTTTATATTAATTACAATGACACAACCAAAAATAGTTTCTAACAATGAAATAAACTGATTGGCCAGGCTGGCCAAAGTGATTGACACAGCTTTCACAGCATCACTCACAGTTGATTTGTCCTCTCCTATACTGTCACCAACAACTCAGTGGAAAGACCCAGATGCATAGAGGCACAGAGCAATGAGGACCTGTTCTTCCACAGATAGACTGTGAATCCTTCCGGTTCTGCATTGAAGTTTTGGCCTGACGAGGTCTGCAATGTACTTAATATCAGCATCCGCAAACTGAAACCGAGCATAAAGTTCCTCAGTGCTGTATTGCTCAAGTGGTTTTGTACGCCCAACCTACACCCTTTTACTGTATTCTCTCCTGCCAAAATGGTAGTGGCGATGGACTATACCTGCCATGTCGGTGGCCCCTCTGTAAGTCCTCTGAGAAAGGCTGAATAAGACGGCTGTGTGCTTGGTCATTTCCAACACCTAGTAACCTTCAGTGGGATATGCAGTCCCATTTAGAACACTCGTTATCCGGATTGGGTAATCTTGAAAAGTTTGTATCTGGATCAGAGTGATTCAATCCAATTTTGCTTTGAAAAACCGGAACAAAAGTAAAATGGATCACGTGATCCTAGATGGCAAAATAAGGGATTTCAAAGTCTGGATCATTTTGATCCAGATTAACCCTTTTGAACAACTGGGCCCTGCTGATCTAAGATTGCTGTCAGGGGAGTCAGTGTGACATCTGTCATCTTAACAGCCACCGTTACGATCTGGATCAAGTGTTTTTGTCTTTCATGCACATATTACCGCACATATAAAAGGTTAGGACAGATTCAATAAAAGATTTATAAAGTAACATCAACTTCCCATCCACTTTAAAAACATTTAACTTTCTAACGACGTACAAACGTTGCTGTCCCACCTAAGATTTTGCATCAAATTTCAGCTCATTAACAATGACTGTTCCTAGGTATATGATGAGAGTCTGGGATGGTGAGAGATGCCTTCCTCCTAAAGTCAATAACCATGTCCTTGGTCTTTGAGGTATTGTTGTTTCTTCCTTGGCAATGATGTGATGATGATGAAGGAATCTCTGCTGACACCGGCTCAGTTGTATATAAAAAAGTTTATTACAAAAAGGCACAGCATCGTTGAACAAGCATCAAAACAGCCTGTGAGAGGACCCAAAGCCAAAAAGGATCTTCTCCCGTTTTCCCCCAAAACCATACAATTTATAGGCTGAATAACCTCTAGATACATATTCATGACATAGCTAAATCCTAGTAACCTATAGAGACACAGAGCCAACATTTATGTCCAAACATGGTCATTCTAGTTAGAAGATACCATAAATCTTGGTAGGTTAAACAAAAGTCAGCTTCTAGGAATGTTTTGGACAGAAGAGCGGAGGGGGTGCTCCACCATGACTGGCCCATGCTGTGATTCATTGAGATTTAGCTGGCTGACTATTAAAATTTCAGGATGTGCCTATCTAGCTTAATAGTCTCCACAGAATCCTCTTTTATCAGACCATTATTTATTTACTTTTATATTGCTATTACTGCGCCACACGCAAAAAAAGTCTTCAGTAGCTGTCAACCTGATAGTGCTGTAGCTAAACATTATTAGATAATAAGCTTGTGTGGTTTTTCCTTCTGAACAGACACAGTTTTCAGCGTAATCTCTTCAAAGTCCTAATGCTGAGAACTACACTGTGTTTATGAGACAAAAGAGAAATAATTTCTTTGTTCTTTGTTTCTAATCAGTTCATCTATACAAGGCATTTTGTAGAGGCAATCATACGCTGTTTGATATCTTCTCAAAAGGTCGACTTTAATCTTTAATCTAATTTGTTTTATCATGCACTTCAAGAAATAAATCCTAAATGTTGAGAATAAAGTTGAAATGTCAAGAATAAAGACGAACTGAGTCAGAAGAATTTTGCCTTTTGAGAATAAAGTCGAAATGTCAAGAATAAACTTGACATTTCACAACATTTAGGATTTATTTCTTGAAGTGCACGATAAAAAAAAAATCTTCCTCCTCTCATATTTTTTTCTCAAGTCATTGCAAATGACAAACCACTCTATTGCTCCTCTAAAAAAGAACATAATAAGACAAAGGATGTTAGCTCCATGGTTTAACTCCCAAACTTGAAAGGATATGCCATTCCACCAAAATGAAAGAATCTCACTTAGTCTGGCAAGGCAGTCTTAAAACAGATAGGACGGCCTTCTGTAACGCCAGAGTCACATCATTAATGGATCAACAATCCATGTATTCCTGTAGCTCTCAGTAGTAATGACTTCATGAGCTTCTTTAATGATAAAATGACTAAATATTAGATCCAAAATTCACCACCTCCTTTCCACAAGTAGCACGAATTTCTCCTCAAACACAAAAACAACTTCAAAACCTGATATACTATATTTAGACAGTTTCTCTCTGATCAACCCCCACTAACTAACCTCATTGATTTCTTCATCTGAACTATCAACCTGTCTCTCAGATCCCATCCCATCTAGGCTGCCTCAAGACCCCTTCCAGTGAAAATCAAGTTTAACCATGTCAACGTCCATATGTTTTTTTTATACAAAAGATACAAAAGATATCATGAGCGAAATAATCAGTCAACGCCATGACTGCGTATTTCCACCTTGGAACTGCAGTGAACCAATGACAGTCTCACCAAAACAAATTCAGGGTTTCATAAAGTAAGGAACCAATCCCGTCAGCTCGTGGGGACGGGGGGCGGGAAAATAAACCAGAAACCTTGTCAGTACGGAGAGCTAGAGTTTGCATTAGCACAACCGCTAACACTGTCTCAGCCACTGCCAGCTGTGAGCTGACAAACAACACAGACAAATAAAAGATAATAACTATGTTAACCGTTCTCATATGTCTGCAAGTCGCTTATTTTGGGACACAATAAACAAAGTAGTAAGTGTAGATGTGCTTCCAGCTCCAATTTTGGATTTTCACTTTTTATGTGGGAAAACCACGTTAAACAAGATATTAATCACAGCAGAGTAATTTTACATATATTTCTGGAGAGGAACTTAAAGGAAGTTTTACCCTTAACCAGCACTTCTTTACTAGATATGATCAAGTTGTCATTATGAACAGGCTATGTACCACAGTCTTTTAAAGTAGCTGTAATTAAACCTCTTCTTCAAAAACCTACTCTTCCAGGTTTGTATTCCAACTGTTGACCTGTGCCAAACCTTCCCTTTCTCCCTAAGGAAGCATTCATTAGTCAGTTGAGTCACTTTCTACAGAATTTGTTTGAGGATTTTAGATTTCATCATAGCACAGGGAAAGGTACAAATTCCTCTTTGCCTAGCGTCAGACAAAGGACTTGTCTCTGTAATTGTCCAGTTAGACCAAACATCCATTGTTATGCAGATTATAACATTTTTACCCATTAATAAAACTGATCAATTGACTAAACTTCAAGGTTACCTGAAGGACATAAAGACCTGGATTCAATTTGCTGCTATCAGAATCAGAAAAAAATAAGTTATTATATTTGGCCTCAAGCACTTCAGAAAAAATGTATCTATAGCAGTGGTTCCAGACCTGTGAGCTGGGGCCGACTGTTGGGAACAAAGGTATTGCAATGGCTGCCTCAAAGATCGTTAAAGACTCTCAAGTTGATCCAAAACGCTGCAGCACAAGTACTGACAGGAACTAGGAAAAGAGATATCATATTTCTCCAATATTAGCTTCATTATATTGGCTTCCTGTCAAATCCTTACTTGTGGTTTCCAGAGTCTCCAGAGCCTTCAGACATCAGCTTCCTCTTAACCATGTTGCTATTGGCTAAAACATCTGGGGTACTTCCCATGATGCACTGAGCTCCTCTCTCCTCCTTTTCATTTGCACCCAATCATACCCCATTAAAATAGATCCTAGCTTGACTTCTTCTCTCTCCCGTAGTTTTTTTTTTCTTTCTCATCTCTCTCCTCCTGTTGCTCTCTGCAGGTATTTCTGCTTCCGGAGCTGTAGAGTCTGGATCTACAAATACAAGCCACCTACAGCCACTTCTGTTCAAGGCTTCTACATATTAAAGGGGAGGTTTTTTCCATGCCACTGTCACCAAGTGCTTGCTCATGGGGGAATGTTGGTTCTCTGTAAATATTATTAAGAGTATAGTCTAGACCTCTGCATGAAAAGTGCCCTGAGGTAACTGCTATTATGATTCGGCACTATTTAAAAGTAAAATTGACAGGAGAAATCTTCCTATTGGGATATCACCACTGGGGGTTCCACAGGGGACTGTTGTGGCTCCGTTTCTGATCACCGTGTATACGGCGGACTTTAAATACAACTGAGTCCTGCCACATCCAGAAATACTCACATGACACAGCTACTGTGGTGCATGTCAGGAATGGGCAGGAAGAGGAGTACAGGGATCGGACGATGGCCTTCAGTGAATGGAGCGACAAGAACTGCCTCCTTCTGAAAACCTCCATGACCAAGGAGGTGGTCATCGACCTTCGGAGGTCTAGGCCCACCCTTCAGCCAGTCAACATTCAAGGGAAGGACATTGAGGTGGTGCACACTTATAAATACCTAGGTGTGCACCTGGACAGTAAGCTGGACTGGTCCCTGAACACGGATGCCATCTACCTGAAGGGGCAGAGCCAGCACTTTTTCCTCAGGAGGCTCAGGTCCTTTGACGTCTGCAGTGAAATGCTGCACATGTTTTGTCAGTCAGTGGTGGCCAGTGTACTCTTTATACTGCAGTCTGCTGGGGCAGCAGCATGTCAGACATGAACACAAAAAGACTGGACAAGCAGGTAAAAAAGGCTGGGCCTGTGCTTGGCAGGAGTCTGGACTCACTCAGGACTGTTGTGGAGAGACGCATGCAATGTAAGATGAAGGCCATCTTGGACAATACCAACCATCCTACATCCTACATGTGCAGCAAACACTGGACTAATCTAATTATTATAGTTTATTTATTATTAACTGTTTTTATTATTATTATTATTAATATCAACAATGAGCTAATGGACACATGAATTTCCCCTAGGGGATAAATAAAGTATCTATCTATCTATCTATCTATCTATCTATCTATCTATCTATCTATCTATCTATATGAACCACATTGCCCATACCTTTGAACACAAAATGTGTTGAAGCCAAAAAGAATCTGTAGAATGCAGTATTTTAAATTTGAATACTTGATACTCACCTGCGCAGGAGCTGGTTAACTGATGTAATCCTGCTGTGGTCCTTCTGCTCTGGCAGCCTATATTTAGGTTTTGGATTTGTTGGCTGTCAGATTAGATGATGGAAGGCACATGAAAAGGTTTAATCATATCAAAATCCTGTTTTGAATATTATTGTTTCACTTGGAAAGTATATTATGTAGAAAGTAATATATAGGATATTATTTAATACATGTAAAAAAATATCTAAAAAAGTTTGCAGAGAAGACATTGTAGAACAAAAATTTTCTGGGAGTGGGAAGTGCTCACTAAACTGTACTCGTTGCACAATGTTGTTTTAACTGACAAGTGACTTGTAAACAACTTTTGTATTGTCTTTACAAATCACTATTACAATTTTGGCAGGGCCCTGACTTTCCGTATCAAGTCAAGACTTGATTTTTACCCATTTTTGGGATTTGCCTCTTCTGTGGGTGCAAATGCTTAAAACAATATGATCTACTTTACTCTGTTACAGTAATACTGAGTTATACCGGTTTATGCACTGTACTGTGCATAATGCTATGATGTTGTTTGTCTTGCTAAGCAATATTATAGTTTGTTTTATCTTGTGATTTTTTTTAGATTGAACAATACTGTAAAGAGTATTAAAAATGAATTATTGTCAGGTGGTTATTATACTTGATGCCGTGTTATCTTCAGCGGGATTTAGTGACGTTTCCTAAATGTGAAGATACGCAATCACACGCATGTGATTTTGAGGTGTGGTGAAAGTTACATGTTTATACAGTTTCAGTTAGGTGCTTTTGAAAAAAGCACTGTATTTGCATTAGCACAAGAGCTGTGAAATTCCATGCACATGCACAGCAAAACAACCAAATGATTCTGGCTCTGGTTCAAGAGTGTAGGTGTCTGATGCCACCTGTTGTGCAGTGAGGATTAATATAGGGTAAGGTCTAAATAGGATTCAAAAACAGCCATTTATTTTACATTATATACACAAAATTTGAAGTAATAAAATTATACAGAGACCAAAAGCATAAACCCAATAATTTCTTCATAGGTAAGTGTGACAAAAACCTAACCTAACAAAAAAAGCTCATTGCCTGAAACGTCAGGTCCTAGTATTACAAGCATAATACGCACCTTCTTTTCAGGAAAGAAATCTGACACACATATGGATATATGTTTTACTCAAGCACCCAAGACTGAACACCTTAATCGCAGACTAGCTGGACAAACACCTTGTCTTTAAGGGCTTCATTCTGTCTATAGATGTACATCGGCGTGTCATTAGAAGATGGGCTGGTTTCCCCAACCTCCTGCTCTTCACTGTTTTCTTCAACCTCCTTGGAGATCAGGTCATTGTAGGAGGTCACACAGAGATCGTGGTCCTGGAGGGAGGCAGGGTATCGGAGTGAGGCTCTCTCGATTCGCACTGACCTTCTCACCGGGGTGAAAAAGCGTACCTCCTGACCGTTGACACGTGCTGGTTCCCTCTGTTGGCTTTGGGGGCCACTAAATGAAAAATAAAGACAAAATAGATCATAATTTTTCAAAATGACCCAGCCTCTAAAAAAGCTGGGCTCATATACCAACCATCCACTCCATAATATTCTGGCAGGAGAGAGAAGCAGCTACAGCTGCAGCAAACGTCTCATCTCACTGGCTGCAGAACAGAGAGGTTCAGGAGATCCTTTGTTCCCACTGCCATCAGGCTATACAACACCTCAGCCAAAGGAAGTGGATTAATTAAATTATTATTTTCAAGATTTGAAAATAATACAAATAATGGCGCATCGCACATAACAGGATATCAAGATTCTCGTGCCGGTTGGAGCAATCACACACACCTCCATATAAATATATATACATATAAATGAAATATCTATCTATCTATCTATCTATCTATCTATCTATCTATCTATCTATCTAGTCAGTGTGCAAGCAGTAACTTAAATTGACTGACAGGTGACAGACTTTAGTGTGCAACTGTTCATTTAAAAAGCCAAACCTTATATTATGATAGACTGAACGTTAATGGCTCACATTATGAGCTGTCACTATGTTAGCCTATACAAGATAACGTTAGCAAATCTTGTGCGTGGAGCATTGCTACAACAGATGTCAGCTGTTGCAATTCTCAAACAATGAACAAATAACATTTCAGGACATCAAAATGTTGACAACATGCTAATATAAAGTTGACAACTGAAAATCACTCACCCTGAATTCCGTATACAAATCGCCATTTGAAATGTTCTGTGGCACTGTTTGCACACTGGCTTTTGGTTGTCTTTAACTTGTCCCTGATGATTCGCGCCAAACACAAACTATCTCCATGCACCAGTCTTGCCGTGTTTTTGTTTTTTTTGGTTTTCCACAAGTCACAGTGGACCTGTTGCTGTATGTTAACTTGCTGCTGCTATTCCATGTTTTGTTACTATTGTTTACTGTGCCTGCCTTCTTCAGAGGAGAACAAATGTAGGGTTATTACACGACCGTCATCAGTCCTGGAAGAATCACTTCTCCACTACCTACGACATCTACAGTGCCGAAAAACAATTACAGTCACATTTTAAGAATTTTGGCATTGACATGGCACCGAAGTATCAGTTCTTGTGACATTAGTAGAAAGGGTATTATTACAGAAGAAGCATCACAATCTCTCGTAATGCATGAATTTCTTTTCCTCTTTCAGATGTTTCCACAGTGTGAAGACATCCGGTGTAATATTCATCATTGACTTTGAAAGATTCGTTTCTGTCCCTCACTGACTGCTGTTTATGTGATTCAGCCCTTGCAAAACTTTAAATTCATGCCAGCTACTAATCTGCTACTCTTTATTTCTGTGTGAAATGACAAAAAATATACTATATATAATCACCTCCTGTGTGCTGAGTCCAGTCTGGTTTTTCTACTCCACTCGACAAAGAAGAAACAATAATATAACAAGTCAAACCTACCCAGGAGTCGCTGTGATCTTATACTTGACTACAGATGAGTTTCCTTTCTCCCCACAGATGAGAGCTCTGACAGGTTTAGGGGTCATCATTGGGTTGTTGATACTCTCAGGAGAGCTCTCCACTGTTGGGATTTGGTCCTCATTTTTCTCATTTGTATCAGATGCTGAAAAAACAAGAAAACCTGAGTCATTCTTGTAAGAATTAACATATTATCTAGATTTCACTGTTGAAGTTATCAAATAAATTTTACCTTAAAAGGTGCATGAATTGATCTTTTTTGGCCAACAGGGTGTAAAGACAAACAATAACATTATCATCTCTTAAAGATCTGGCAAATGTGTTAGCAAGCAGTTGCCCATATACACATCTAACAGACACAAAGCAACAATATCTGGATTAGCTGCTAAATGCTCCACTGTGTTCATCAGTTAGTTTCTAACTTTGTTTGTCTGCCCTTTGGCACTAGACAAGTAGTGTACAGTTGTTTTTCAGAGCGTCTCACTGAAAACTGCACTGAGGAGGGCAGTGAGAATGAACCAAGCAGTAAAGTTGCGGAAGCGAAAAACCAAAAAGTTAGTTAAACTTACATACAAAGTTAAAATCACATACAAAGAAATTCAAAAACAGCAGGAACAACTGACATTCAAATTACATTAAATAGTGCAACATAGTCATTATAACACACAAGCTAAAACTAACAAAGTCAAAGCGTAATACCACACGATGCAATGAATCACACAGGCATTGATTCAACTTTATGGTCAGATTCGGTAAAAGTAATTTGTAACACTAAGTGATATAAAGAAGGTAACTAATTGCATCACCCCTGCTCAGATAGAGATGGGAAAAGAAAGCCTTCATGTTTATTTTGGCAGAAGGAAAGGAAGCTAAGAATGCTGAGAAAATCTTTATCCCTGGACAAATGGAACCCTGATGTAAATTCTGCAGTAGTGGTTTGGCAGTTGTGTTTGTGTGTGAGTGTGTTTCAGCCAAGATGTTCATCCTGGCCAATTTACCTTGGATCTCGTCCTTTTTCTTCAGAATCTCAAACACCACAGTCCGCAGCTCGTCCACTGGCTACAGTGAAATATAAAAATAGAAACTTAACAGGAACATTGAATTTCCAATGTATGATTCTGTATCGCTGTATTGGGCTAATCCAGCAAATTAAATACAATACTGCATGATGTTTGATGTATGTATGATGCTGATCCTGTTAATCCAATATTACCATAAAGTGGTCCAGCTCAAAGCCTTTCAATATGTCAAAGAATGGTCTAATACACCAGACATATTATGGAGCAGACATTAAAGATACTAGAACTATGAGTCTACTATAACCAACAACAATCCAAATCAACCAGAGTCTTCTAATTAAAGAGGTCTGTTATCAATGTGCTTGTGTGTGTGTGTGAGTGAGAGAGGGAGGGGGGCATGGACAGGTTGAGTGAATCAATGCGCTGCACACAGGTGTACAATGAAGGTTTTAGCTATTTGAAATAGTAAAATATTTTCAGTTCATTATGAAACTGTGTTGGGACTTGTTAGACTGTGGCAGAGAACATCAATTGAGTAGGCGGTCCTTTAATGTGGACTAGGACGCAGTTGCCTTCACACAATGTAAACCAAGCTGGATTTTAAAATATTTTTAAAAATGGCTTTGCAAATGTTTTGTCTTACCTCCAACACAACACGAACAGCCTCTTCAAACATGGGCAAGACATCCAGGTTGCCCTCTTGCTCCATCAGACGGGCCTGACAGATCCAGTATTTGGCAAACTTCTGGGACACTGCCGGCAGCCGCAAGAGAACCTCCTTCACTTGTTCTGGAGGGCAACCCTGTAGGTGCAAGGAAGGCTCCCATCAAACTTTAGAATGCCTCCCAAGAGAGACTGTGTACAAGTGCACATACTCCAAATTCTGCAGGCCCCTAGTAAGTATCAACAATATGGTAGCTTTCCAACATGGTCAGGCGGACAAGTTCTTTTCAAGAACGACCCCGCCTTACAATACTTTAATTCCCCTGCTTTTTCTCTCTAATTTCAGAGCCCATCAAACAATCTCTATGCATATTTCCACCTTAAAATGTGTCCAACACATAAATTCCAGAGCGATATAACAATGGGTTGTTGCAGATGGCCACACACCCTTCCAGTTCTTGTAAAGAGGGAGATTTTTCTTTCCTACTTTCACTAAGTCAGTCATTGCGGGAACTGTTGGGTTTTTCTCCCTAATACTGTAAGTGCCTTCACAAAATAATTAAAATAAAATAAAACAGAATTTAATTACACATCCAGTGGGTTATTACATCAGACTGCAAAATCTAGGACAACAAAAGAGAATAAACCATATACCTCTCCAAGCAATTTGATGCAATCAGCCAGGGACCTGTCAACAGCACAGATAAGGGAGTGAGTCTCGTCCTCCTCCTTCATGGAGGTCCAGAAAGGCTGGGGCGCAGCCACTGTGCGCCTCACCTGAGGTTTTACTGGCATTGGAGGACGCTTGTAAGAAATACCTTTTGCCTCTCGCCATTCCTGCAGTTTTCTCCTTAAGACCAAATAAAACAGCAGAGGATAGAGTTAAAATTCAACATTTTGTTTGGCTTCATTGGACAGCGCACCAGGCAGACACAGGAAAAAAAGACAAAATGGGGTTGATGCCTGGAACATTTTATTCTACATGAGTAACTCTTGGTTTCTATTTAACAATTAAAGGGACAGACAAACCTTTCGGAAAATCTTATTTAACCAACCACTGCACATTTTCAACTTCAAACCTATGCTTTCATCTGTATCCATTTATCTTCCTATTTAAAAAAACAAAATAACATACACTTTATTAGGAACAGCTGTACATTCACCATGTTTATTCATGCAATTATCTAATTAGTCGATCAGATGGCAGCAGTGCAATGCATATAATCGTGTATACAGATCAGGACGATAGCAGACAACCAACTCAGAGGAACCAGTCCCTGTCCAAACCACAGACTTCATCACTATCTTTCTATCAAAAAGCAGTCTGTACATGCACAGAGATCTAATCAGATTCCCAACTCCCATGGATTTTACAAAACTTTCCATCAATCCTTGATCAGATTCTTTGTCGTCTATTTTACTTCATTCTTGTATATCACATGTATTATTTTGATTGGTTTATTTTGTTAAATGAAAAGAAAAGGGTATCCCCTATACTTTTAAAAATGTAAAACAATATATTCAAAGCAATGAGCGGTGTTGTATGTTTAAACAAAAACTAATTTCTAATCATCACTTGCTCAGAATGATTAATTTGAACAACTGATAGAAATTCATAGAACAAAATGATAACATCATATCGCTGACACATGATTAAGGATGGGATATTGTTAAGATTTTTACCAGTATTGCCTTTACCGATACTGCTTATCGATCTTGTACTTTAATGGTACTCTTATCTGTACTTTTTGTTATTTTGTAAGAGAAAAAATTAACCAAGAAAAGAATTGACATTGCTTGATTTTATGATATTGTACTGAATTAATATTCTTGAGTAGAAAATTTCAACAGCATTATTTTGAACAAATCACTATCATAGACTGATTTTGTAATGATGGAAATGTAAAATAAATGTAATGCCAAATGATGTACTACAGGACCTTTTTTGGACAGTATTTTTTACTGTGCAATAGTTCGCCAGCAGCACCCACATCGCTAACTCCACTCCTCTGAGGGATGTACAATTGGAACTGAATGTCTAAATGACAGTTCAGACAACGCTGTCTTAAAAGAATGTCTTACTTGGAAACAGAGTTATTAATGTCAGAGCTCATCCAGCCCAGGGCCCTGTCTAATACTGGGTTTTGGTACCCATCCCTACACACGATAACTTTCATCTGCCAAACTGCCCTAAAGGCAACCTTTCTTATGAGTCATGTACAGACAGACCTGCGAGTCACAGGCCAAATTATAACCCACAGTAAACTAGAGTGGAAATGCAATGATTCAATGGCACCACATCATGGTTTCATGCTGTAAATTTACCAGTAGTTGTACTGTGCTACTTACATTCTTTCCTCTTGGGCAGCAGTCATTTTCTTTCCTTCAGTCTGGGGAATGATCCTGACTGAGACCTTTGGTGTCTTCATGTTTGTGACTTGTCCTGTAAGGCTGATGGTCCTGGAAGGCTGCGGCACTGTCTGTGACATCACTGGAGCGCCTGTTCTTTTTATGCATGTTTGTGGCAGAGGGGCATTTGCTGAACTGTATCCCTTTTTGCTTTGTGTCTCTTTACATGTCTTGGTTTTCCCTCCCAACTCAGCCACAGCGGCTCGCGTAAACTGACCACTTACCGCTTTTGAAGTGCACCTGCACACTGCATCATAGGATGTTCGGCTGAGGACTTTGCATAATTTTCCATTTTTTTCTCCACCACCTTCAGATTTCTGCTTTGTTGACCTGTCTGTGCACTCACCAGCTGATCTATTCGTTTTTGACATACCTCCTCTCCCTTCAGGTTTAATAAGTGCTTCTGTGCACTTTGAGGTGGGCACTGGTTTCCGTCCATGACTTGATAATTGACTCTTACAAGATGACTGAGAATGTGTCCCCAAAAGTGGTTTTGAGTTAGACTTGTCCTGACTTTGAACTTTAACGCCAGCTCTAGCAGTTGAAGAAACAGTTCTCTCATTAACAGGGTTGTTTAGAGCAGTGTTAGGAAGTGTTTTCCTCTGAGCTGTAGCAGAGCTCTGGGAAACAGAAACTAATGATGAAGTGCTGGATCGCACTTTGTTACCCACAGAAGTAATGGTGGTATCAGCTGCTGTGGCAGGAGTATGTGTTACACGTGACTTTGTGTTTCTTGACTGGGTCACTGCAGGAATGAGCCCTGTTTTTGTTTTGACAACTGGGCCAAGACTCATTCTGACACTGACTGTTTTTCTTGGACCTGACCAGGCAGAATTTGAACTACTGCTGAACTTTGTGTTGGAAGCTGTATTTGAAGAGGCTCTGCCTGAGGATAGCAGTCCTGTATTTGGTGGCTTTTTGAGTTGGCTGGTTGCATTCAGGTTGGATTTTGAGGACACAATAGTGTCCACTCCTGTAAGCACTGGGTTTTCATTACGTTGTGGCTGTGCTGGGCCACCGATTGAAGATGGACATTTGGCATTTCGCCGTCCAGTCAGGATGCTGCCTTTAACATTCACTTTGTTAGTGACACCAAACGCTCTTTTGTCAGGGAGTTTTGTGGTTTTTGTGCCTTCATATCTGAATGTGTCAGCTGGAGCCTTGTTTTCTTTTCCCTTAACAATCTGTGAAGACAAAAATAAAATATGTGGGAAATTTAGAGTAAAACAAAATGAAAAGTCATTCAAATAATCAGGGCAACTCAGCACCACATGATTTTAACATCACTTTCCTTTTCAGTGCTTCCTTGCCTGTGCAAATAAGGGTTCCACTTTCCCAAGAATTTTGACACATTGGTGGGATAGACATGAATCTTAATGCGCACGTATACTGTCTACTACTGTATACCTGTATGTACCTGCACACAAGCACAAGCACATACACACACACACACCCTACCTTAAATGCAGACGTCATAGGCTTCTTAACCTCACAGTCATCTCGGAGGTATGGCCTGAGGAGGAAAACCTATTGATTTAATTTGCTGTACACAGAACAAACTTGATGACATGAACTGTTTGGGAGTTAGACAACATTTTAACAGCAACATTTTTTTTCTTACTTAGGGTTGGGCAGTTTCAGCCTTCCTTTTGCTGCCAAGTATTCCATCAACTTGTGTTTACGTAGCTCTGTGACAGAAAATTACACAGGATTTGAGCATTGTCCACATTAATAACTTTCAATTGTACTCGCCAGTAAATTGCATATTATATATTCATACCTAGTGTTTGAACTATAATAATTTATGTGTACCTCCAAATAAATATACACATATAAAATTTATACTAGGAAAATGCAGAACTCCAGGACATAATAAAATGTGGAACTTCTGGCAAAAAAAACTTAACTATGGAGCAAAAAAATAGAAGCGATTTTTTTCTCCAACTGTGTCAGCAGGAGTCAAGTCACCAGCATGTGTGATCGGATCACACTTTCCCACTTTATATGCAAACAAACAAGTATGTGTTGCAACTGTAACAGATGGGTCCATTGCCAATGTGTTTGAGAGACAGAGTAGGTCACATCTCAGGCAGGTCATTCCATGTCAAGTCAACAGAGGCCTCCCAACTGACCTTCGTGGATTTGCTTCATACTTAATGTGAATAAAGTCACTGTAGCCAACAACTACTATTTTGTTCAGCTTGTATCTTCTTTAATTTCTGAGGTATGGAGACAATGACCAGCCACTAAACAAAATAAGGTAAGGGGTGGGGACAGAGACGCAAGGAACAGTAGCACATGGGCTATAAAAACAAAACAGCACATGTGTAAGTAAACAAAACCTGTGAAAATCATTTTTGATACCTTAATACATACATAGGTACCAACTTCATATTTTGTGCATATTAAAACATGCCATTTCCACTGGTTGATTGTTTTAGGATAGACTCATGCGTGGGCAATATGCGCTTGAAATAAAGATGTGAATTTTACCTCACAAATCAGAATTTTTGATAATGATTTTACTTATATTACATATGAAGCAAATCCAACATGGTCTGTTGCAGAAAATGTCTAAAATCTCTTGATTTGACATGGAATTACCCAAGCGTCCTAATAACATTTCACAGACACTTACTGCCATCTGGCTGCAGGTTGGTGATACATTAATACTCTTGTGGAAAATCTACATTTGGAAAAGGGACAGCAAAGAGCAGCTGAAACAATTACCGATTACTTGATTAACAGACAACTGATGATTGACTCATTGTTTTAACCATTTTTCAACCAAAGAAAGACAAAGGGTCAGTGGTTCCAGCCTCTGAAATGTGATCATTTGCTGTTTTCCCTGGTATATTTAAAAATATATATATATATTAATATAGAAACAACTGACAGAATAATAAATTGTGTAAATAGTTTAATTAGCAGTCTATTGCAAACTTCTAATTTAACACTTACTTTCTCAGTTGACCACTAAATCTAGCACTGTCCATTATTTGTATGGGAAGCCTACTAAGCGGTCTGTAGCTGCTATATCAGTGTTTGCTACAGCTCTGATGGTGCTGACTAAAACACCACAAAAAAGGACTAATCTACCCCCTGCAATGTCAAAACGACCACACTTTCAGTTTATAGGTGTATAACATCTCCTAATACTCTGCAAACACAATCAAAACATTGAATCCTAACATTACTGCCTACAGCAGCCAGGCATGTAAATGTAGGAGACAACAATAGACTCGTGTAAATGAAATAAGACCTTTAAACACCTTTTAAGGTCTTTTTGAGGAAGCTTTATTCACTATCGTTTTAAGACTGCAGATGCCGTGATTGCGTTGCGTTAATTTGTCTACAAATTAAAAACGTTTCCAGTGAATGTGTAACGACTGCTACCTTGAGTTAGCGATAACATGCTAAACATGCTAACCAACGAGTTAGCTTTTATGCTACTTAATGAGTTCGCTAACCTTTTCTGGAAAGTATCGATACGGTCTCTCCTTCTTCCATATCTGTTGGATTTGGAATTCTCCTTTTGACTTTGTCCAAATTTGTTATCACAAATTCCTCTTTAGACCCCTTTTTTTATCGTAGTCGTTGACAATACGTTAGACTGAAACCGTAACAACTGAGCTCGTGCATCCAGTTTTGAAATTGCTGGGAGTGAACGCCTCCTCTTCTCTGATTGGACGATTTGAAATTTCGAAAAAAAAGAAAAAAAAAAGAAAATCACGCATGCGCTAAAACTACGCGCCACTTGGAGCAGAATATGCAAACAAACGGCACTTGCAAGGCTTTAATCTCGGTCTGGGTGCACAAGTTCCCTTAATATACACAAGTTTGGGCGGATGATGTATTTTGTTGATTTCTTAAGTGAAAATAAGTAAATACAACCTCTGCAGCAAACAGTTATTAAAAATGAGAATTCCTTCAAATGTTAACTCTTACTTTTTATATCATAAACTAAAAAAAACACACACACACACACACACACACAAATTATCTATCTATCTAGAGTAAACTGAATGCTAGTAAAGTATACCTATGTGACTTTTCCTGTAGAATGGTGTAAAAAGATTGTTTTCTTAAGTAAAATAATTCCTATATACAGTATAAAAATACTGAAGTATAATCAGGAAAATATACTTAAAGGTATCAAAAGTTGGGGTGTCGCGTGGCGCAGTGGTCTAAGCAGGCGCCCCATATGTAGAGGTACAGTCCTTGCTGCAGTTGGCCCCAGTTCAAATCCCCTGATCAGAAATTCTGTATGCAAAATCTCATTCTGCCAAGCACAGCAGTCAAACAACATACGCAGAGTACTACGTACAACATCTCTTTAAAAGGTGGTGGGGTAAAAGTACCTCAGAATACTCCTAGCACTATCCATAATTACTAATTGTCATAGATATGGAAAACCTTAAACTTAAGAATGCTGGTTTGTGTCTGGGTCTCTAGGCAAATACTGAGGCTGTAATTTGTGATATTCTGTTTGCACTGGAAATAATAAATTAAGAGTTGGAGCAGAATTCTAGTTCTAGTTCACTTACTGTCTTTACAAATGGATTACAGCTAATGTCAAAAGAGGTGACAACTCCAGTAGTACACCTTAATTGTTAGACCAATGCATTTCTGCCTTCACCAGAAACATCTTAAAACATATGGACAAATTTAAACAGGGTGGGTTTAAAACAGAAAAAAATCAAGACAACCAATCATAGTCAATGGGGCTCCTAAGTGAATGAAATGGTATGGTTTCTAGTTCAGTTACTGTTTTTACAAATAGACTACAGATAATGACGCCTGTGAAGTAATTTATCCCTCTTTGAGTTGTGTCATCTAACAAATCCTGAGTGAGCATATACAACACTAATCCAAATTATTCATAAGGCTTTATTAAAGATTCGTCGATCATTTAAATAATTGCAAGAAAGCAGATTTCCAAATAAATACATATGTTAAAATGGTGCATACATAGATAAATAAATGGATAAATAAATAGATAAAAGCGTCAACAGTGTGTCATGTAAATACACAGTCTGCTTTCCAGTCAGCACAACAATGCCACCATGTGGTGGAACTTGACTATGTCAATACACTAAGTCTGTGAATGTTCTCATTCGTCCAGGTCATAGATATCTCTCTCTCAAATTAAATCGAAGGCAACTGGACTTGTATTTCTAGTCCACACTAGTCTGACGAGTGTGGACTAGAGAGACCAATACATAAGAACTGATGAAGCCGCTTGGATAAGAGGCGAAATGTCTTCCACAGACAAATACAAGTCCAGTTGCCTTCGATTTAATTTGAGAGAGAGTCAATACACTAAGCATTTCACTTTCTGTACTTGGTACATACAGTAAATAGACATTGCAAAACTTGCATCTTTCTGGCAGACAATGGTAGTACGTTTGTTTAAAGTAATTATATCTTTGTTGTTGATTATTTGAATTAAAATAGCTGAAGTACAGTACATTTTACACTGTTCAATACACAGATGTTCTAGTTAAAAGGCGACAAAGATGACCCAAAATACAGATCCACACTCCACTTTGGGTGTCTTTGACAAGTTTTAACTCTGACGCTGGATGTTGAAGGTTCTGTAGCGTTTGGCGCTCTCCATGCACATTTCTACCGGCTTGTTGTCATGCTCTGCTGTGCTGATGTACCAGTCAGGGAAGGAGGCAGACATGAGGGTGCTGATGTTCAGCCCAGAGTCCCGTTTGTAGAACAGAAATTGCACCATTTCGCTTTCGGGGCTGATCCTCAGCAGACTGCTTTTGTCTTCCACTGCCTGAGGTGTGAAAAGATACACATCAGAAGGTCTGACCATCACACCGGAAAATAATACAAGCTCATATCAATAAATGTGTAGTGTCTATTTCAGATGATAACAATTCAGATGACCAAGAGGATCTAGTCAGTTTTCCTTAGTCACTGTTTTGGTTTTGAGAAATGTGGCACTTGTGACTGAGTTTACCCTTTAACAGTATAACAGAGTGTGTAGTCTTTATGTGAGATTAATGTAAGAGTTTACCTCCAGGTGCAGGGTTGGCACATCACCTTTCTTGTGGCATGACAGGTAGAGATTTGTGTCTTTAATGCCAAGAGCCACAGGTCTGGCCTCGGTACTGGGTGAAGGGTGCACATAGGTTGACATGTTCAGATGCACTGAGGAGAGAACACAGGATACAGGTTCATTAAAATGAAAACTAAAAGACTGTGTCTGTGCATTTCACCAAAGTTACACAAGGATCTGAAATAACATATCACCTTTCAACAGTTTCAGTTAAAATATCAAGCCTAGTTGCCAACCTGTCATCCCTAAATTCTAATATCTACCGTGACCGAGAGATTTTCTAACCATCAGATCTAACTGTCGCATATAATTACCTTTGCGGTTGTCACTGCCTCCTTGCAGCATCACTGCATGGAGCTCCATGCTGTTTTCGACCAGAACTAAGCTCCTCTTCTGGCTGTCGGTCACACTGCACTGGTACTCCCCTGTCCTGCTGAACTGAACTGGTGGAGCTGAGCTGAGCTCGAGCACAATATGCTCTGAGGCAAAGAGAGGAAAGCTTGATTAGTTATGCTGTTATGATTTTTATCTACAGTCATAGACCATTTGGTGAACTGGAGGAGTGAAACTGAAGCCACTACCTCTTGGAACAAACTAGTAATTCAGTTACACAGACTGGTTTCTGTAGGTAAGTATGATGTACTAATAAATTAAGCATTAAGTTGTTTCACCTTAAAATGGGACTCAATTCAAATATGATATGCTAATAGAGAAACCAGTCCAGTAAGCTCTTTTTATCAACAGTGTGGAAATAAAGTTTCATTTGTGTAATTACCTTCCACTATGTTCTCCATCATGATGTTGAGCAGGTTTTCATCTCTGAACTCGGTGCTCAGCACTGACTCTGATGTGCCGGCCTTCAGCCTCTCCATGGCGATAATGAGGTTGGCCACACGCCTCATTGTCATTGGATGATGGGAGATCTCCAGGTCCAGTCCCTTGGGCATCTTGGAGCTCCACATCTCGCTCAAGTTGCATTTCATCTCGGATTCCATCTTTTTCTGAATTGAGGAAGGTCTGCAGGAAGAGAGAGAGCAATTTGAATCATAAAACAGTCAGTGAAATACAGCTCAGATTTACTTCTACCTTTATAGCAGCTTATTAGTATTTTCTCTATGATCCTTTGCTAATTATTGACCTGTTGTAAAAGGCTACAGTACATCTCTGTATGTTGTGGGGATTTTTGATTCACTACTGCATCAACATTTGAAGTAACATTGACTAAAAATAAGATAATATTTTTTCACAGTGTGAAGATTTCCATCTGACTAACAAAATAAATGTTCTCACAGTTTATAATGACAAAACTGTCAGCAGCATGTTGAAGAAACTGTCCTCTAATGAGATTTAATTCCCAATCAAAGTAAAACAAGGATCCTGTTTATAATCTGCTCCACATTAAGAATGTCAGAGACAAAAAAATTAAGAAGCAAGAAAAGTCAATTTACCTGTTGAAGTCAGTAGAGAAGAAGTTGTTTTACTGTTCTTGGTTAAGCTTGTCCTGTCAGTGTTGTTCTGTCCGCCTGTGCTGACCTGCAGGGTTTTTATACACTCTTCGATAGCCATTGACAGCAATATAGAAAGCGAAACTAGCATAGTAACATAGTAACATAGTAAACTTCTGAATTTCTTCACTTCCCTCAGATGCGTCAAGTTGAATTATTTACTTTGACTAGTAGTGAATTCGCATTGTCTGGAGGTGGAGAGGTTGCAGTACTATCATTTATGATATTATAATTTAATATAATAATAACATGCACTGATTGTGCTTTATATGGTAACAAAAAAGAACACAACACTAGACATACTGAACAAAGTATTCAGTGTGTAAGCATGCTAACGTTTGCTAATTAGCACTAGAACTACAACTACTAAATGTCAAAGAAGACAAAATATTGTCCAGGACTTATTCACCTTGTGGTCGTTGATGTAGAAAAAAGATTTTCCCTAATAAATGATTATTTTCTAATTTGTTTAATCTGTAAAATGTCACAAACATCAAAATGTCCAGCACCTTACCCTATTTGGTTGTGTTGTGTCTATGTGCGGCACGTATTCTGAATTTGCTTGTGTTTTCTGAAGTTGTAGCAATTTGAGCTCTCAGGGCCACTGTAGTTCTGGTTTGGATGGTATTTAGAAGAACAAATCCAACTCATTTGGGTTTGGGTGCGAAAAAATAATTAGTGGCATAATTTCCTCATTGTGACTGACAAGCTACAATAAAACACTTTCCAAAATGAACTGAAATATCTATCTTACAGGAAAGTGCTTGGTTGTGGTCACTGATTATTTTCTGTCACTGGTAATTTGTTCCATTGTTTTTGATTCTTCTCACATAGATGATTCTGTTTCATAGATCGGATATTTTCTTTTCTTTTCTCTTTGAAGGTTTTTCTTAATGTGGCTTTCTTATTTTTGTTGTTTTTTTTCATATATTGGCATTATTGTTAAGAGGACAAGTCCCCATTAAGTAAAATTATAAAACTGTGATTATTAATGAGTACTAAATAAATGGTCCATTTTGAGTCAAAGATAAAATGAAAAATGTGTAAAATGGTAAAAAAAAGTACAAAATTGTGAACAACAACAGTTGGAATTTCAGCAAAGATAACACAACTTCATATATTTGAAAATTTCAGTAATATGATTGTGTCATATAAACTTTTCCTGACGTCATCCATTTTATTACGAAAATAACTATTAATGGGACATGAAAGTGCTGCTCAAACACTGGAAGATGATTCTGAGGGGCATTAGTCAGCCGCAATTAAAGAAGTATGAATCACTCAAAGGAAGAGCACACACACACACACACACACACATACGTGCCTCCCTTAACGTAAGTGGACTGTCAGACTACACCAACCAAGTGTGGACCAATATTTCTAGTCGTTTTAAAAAAAATGAAGATTGAATACAAAAGATCTTCTTTCATAAGTTCAAACGATTTTTGTAATTTTTGTAATTTTTTTTTTTTTTTTTTTTTAATTGTGAAGAGAGGGCTCAGCACAACAGGATTGGTTTTGTTGCTTCAAGAAACTAACACTAACCTTGACCTTTGACCTTTGACCACCAAAATCTAATCAGTTAATCCGGGAGTCCATGTGAACATTTGTACCAAATTTGAAGAAGTTCCGACAAGGCGTTCCTGAGATATCGTGTCCACAAGGCCAAAACCGTGTTTTTGAGGTCACCACGACGTTGACCTTTGACCTTTAACCTTTAACCACCAAAATCTAATCAGTTCATCCTTTAGTCCAAATGAACATTTTGTAAAATTCCGACAAGGCGTTACTGAGATTTCGTGTCCACAAGAATGTACGGACGGACAACCTGAAAACAATATACCTCCGGCTCTGACTGTCGCCGGCAGGCAGGCATAAAAAAGTGGAACAGCGTTCTGTCAAATGTTCAAATGCAAATGATATAGAAATTGCTCTTCTTAATTATACAGCTTCAGCTAATGCATTATTATTATTGGATTTTTTTTTTAAGTTTATGGGGACTGCAATCATTAACAATACAGCAGTCAAGCAAATGTAGTGGAGTACTAACTTCAACATTTCTGTCTAAAATGTGGTGGGGTAGAAGTACTTTCAAAATTGTCCTAACGGTATCCATATTTACTCATTTTCATACGATACATACTACAGAAGGGGGGTGACAAATTAAAGAAAAAACCAACATACAACATGTCGACAACCTATCAAACAAAGGGAATTAGAAACAAAGACCTGCCTCTAATAAAGGCCTGTACATTTTGCAGTTGAGGAACAGTTAGAGGAAACACAGTGGTTGAAAACTGTTGTGGATCCCAGATGGAGGCTGTCCGCTGTGAGGGACCAAAAAAATAAGGTATTATGTCACTTCTGACTTTCTCTCTGAGAGATCATTCAAGTAAATATCAAGCAAATACAGCTGAAATCACAGCACAGTCTTTGTGTTCGGCGATTTTGTCAGACAAAGACGCGGTTATAAAATTAGGATGTCAGCAGAACAGAGCAGCAGCTTGGGAGTTAACATGTAGGGTTAATGGGCTGCGTTTCAGTCACTATTTTATACTGTATATGTGAGCACAGAGAGGAGGAGAGAAGCAAACAGATACACCATCTGAAACCAGCTGACACTAGGCAGAATGCAAATACAACACGATGTCGTCAGTTTTTTACAGCGGTTCCACAACAGTTTTAAACTACATCCTCAATCTCTAACATTGCCCAGTCACAGTCCAGCCGTACAAGTCTTGTTTCCACATCTCTGTAGACCAGTGCCAGTGGTTTTTTTCCACCAGTGAACTCTCATAAGTGCATTCATCTTTGTAACGACCCTACTATAATATCCCTCGCTATGTAACTATACATGAATTGTTCTTGCTGACTGATCACGTCCTTTATATTCTCAGTCACCAGAGGAAGAGTCGCTCTTTTGTTTTTCCTCACATTTCAAGCTAATCCACTCCCCTATTTACTGACATCTTTGTCATAGATTGTCAAGTTTTGTGTGTTTTGTTTGAAGTTTTTTTTCTTAGTTCTTCGGCTGACCACAACTCTGCCCAAACTTGAGAAATGGCTTGCTCATCTCAGGAACGCAAAGGACAACTCAATTCTTTTGATTTTTTATTTTCTTCCAGATGGGGAGATGGAATAATAGAATAGAATGCATTGAATCGAACGGAATAGGTTGAAAACCTTAAAGATAATAAAAAGATATGCATTAGTTCCAAATAAATGCATACATAACATTTTCTTAAAGAATATGAAAGACTAAAATAAAGAATAAATGTTAATTTGTCAACTAATGACTCAATTCACCTAACACAAAATTAATTAAGTTTCAACTTAGATTGCATGCTCTCAAATACAAATACAAACTGAAAAGGCTACAAAGCACATAACTTGGTTTGTCCTACCAGTTGCGTCTGTAATGATGAACATGAGCTGTGGCTGGCCTATTGTTCTTCAGCAGCAGCAGCAGCAGCAGCAGCAGCAGCAGCAGCAGCAGCAGCAGCAGCAGATGAAAGAGTGACTTGAGCTCCTTCCCAAATATTTATAATTTCCCCTTCCTTGCTTCCTGTGAAACACTTCCTGTGCACACGGGTGCACCAAATTGTGTGGTTTCCCCCTGCAGGTTTGGAGTGCATGCTGGGGAACCTGCCTGTGCATTTTGTGACTGGTCTTGACACGACATAGATCAAAATGCAGATGTCACTGTTCTTACTGAAACACTGGCCAGTTGAGCAGTTTTTGTGACTGATGCCACTGCCATCTGTGCCCCAACAACGAACCCTCACTCAGAGCCACTTGGATCTTTCCCTCTTGCCATGTTGATACAAAATCAGAATCAGCTGTGCCTGCTTTGCATTTCCCAGAGCATGATTGGATATCATTAACTGCTTAATTGTACCATGCAGTGCACCTGTGTGAAAGTATCTACATTTTTTTTATGTTTCTCCACTCATTTATTCAGGTTTTCCCTTTAATTTGGCACCCATCTGTATATATTACATTCCTAAATATCACTGTGTTTAATCAAATAACCTCCTGTCACTGAAGCATGGAAAACATGAGGCTAGCTAGGATTTTTGAAATGTAAGAATGCTGGTTGGTATCTGGGTCTGTGGGCAAATACATAAACCTGAGTGAGCATACAACAGAAATCCAAATTAGTTACGAGGCTTTATTAAAGATTTGTTGAACATGATCATTTAAATAATTGTTAGAAAGCAGATTTCCAAATAAATACATATGTTTGAATGGTGCATAAATAGATAAATAAATGAATAAATAGATAAAAGCATTAACAGTGTGTCATGTAAATACACAAGGTGCTCACAAGTCAGCACAACAATGTCACCTTTTGGTGATATTTGACTATGTCAATATACTTAGCATTTCACGTTCTGTACTTGGTACATACAGTAAATAGGCACTCTGTAAAACTTGCAGAAGTCTTTCTCGCAGACAGTGGTAGAAAATAACATCTTTGTAGCTGATTATCTGAATCAAAATATCTAAAATACAGTACATTTTGCACTCTGTTCAATACCAAGATGTTCTCTTTAAGAGCGCCTCTCATGACCCCGGGGTGCCAGTCTACATTCAGTAAGGGGTGTCTTTGACCGGATGTTGAAGGTTCTGTAGCGGTTGTCGGTCTCCGTGCACATATCAACTGGCTTGTTGTCTTCCTCTGCTGTACTGATGTACCAGTCAGGGAAAGAGGCAGACATGAAAGTGGTGACGTTCAGTCCGCTCACCTGGGTGTAGAACAGGAATCGCACCAGATCGCTGTCAGAGCTGATCCTCAGCAGACTGCTTTTGTCCTCCACTGTCTGAGAGGTGAAAAGACACATGTCAGAAGGATGGACCATCACACTGGAAAGTAATACTAGCTCATATCAATAAATGTGTACTGTCTCTTTGAGATGATAATGATTAAGATGACCAGGAGTTTACTCTTTAAGAGTGTAACAAAGTGTAAGAGCTTACCTCCAGGGTCAGTGTTGGCATGTCACCGTCCATGTGGCATGACAAGTAGATATTTGTGTCTCTAATGCACAGAGCCACAGGTCTGGCCTTGGCCTCGGTGCTGGGTAAAGGTGGCAAGTAGGTCGACATGGTCAGATGCACTGAGGAGAGAACAGAGGATACAGGCTCATTTTAGACTTTAGATTTTCAGACTGTGTTAGCCTCACTGATAAAAACAAAAATGCAACTGTCCTTGCATTTCACCAAAGTTACATGTGAATTAGGAATAAAATATCACCTTTCAATCATCACTAAATTCAAATATCTACCATTTTCTAACCATCAGATCTAATTGATCACGTGTAATTTACCTTTGTGGTTTTCACTGCCGGCTTGCAGCGTCACTGCGGTGAGCTCCATGCTGTTTAAGTCCCTAACTAAGTGTCTCTGCTGGCTGTCGGTCACACTGCACTGGTGCTGGCATGTCCTCCTGAACTGACTTGGTGGATCTGAATAGCACTCGAACATAACACGCTCTGAGGGAAAGAAAGGCACACCTGATTAGTCACTTTGCTATGATTTTTATCTACAGTCATAAACTTTTTCATTTGAGTCATAGTACAGTAGATAAACACTATACACTCATTAATGATGCTTCAGTTGCCCCACCTTAAAAGGTGCTACAAAACTAACAGCAAATTGAGAGAGATGTCAGTCAAAGACACCCACACAGTTCTGGGCAGAGCTTGAATTAGGCCAAATAAGTGAAAACACCTGTGCAGGTGAATGTGTGGGAGTCCAAATCACAGGTGTCACAGTTTGTTTTGGTGGGTTTCCAGTTACAGGAAATGATAAGTAGCCCACTCTGTATCTGAAGATAGACATTATCACAGAAACTGTTCCGGAAAACACTCTTAGTCATCCGTCAATCACTTCCCACAGTTCCTGATTGTGAAGGACTTAATGAAGATGGCAGCATTTTTTTGTTTACACAGATTCAATTAGCTTTCCAGGAAAGTTTAATGTGAGCTAAAACTCAATTAAAATATGCTATGCTAATAGAGAAATCAGTTCTTTTTATGCGACAGTGTTGAAATTTGCGTAATTTACCTTCCACCATGTTCTCCATCATGATGTTGAGCAGGTTTTCATCTCTGAACTCGGTGCTCAGCACTGACTCTGATGTGCCGGCCTTCAGCCTCTCCATGGCGATAATGAGGTTGGCCACACGCCTCATTGTCATTGGATGATGGGAGATCTCCAGGTCCAGTCCCTTGGGCATCTTGGAGCTCCACATCTCGCTCAAGTTGCATTTCATCTCGGATTCCATCTTTTTCTGAATTGAGGAAGGTCTGCAGGAAGAGAGAGAGCAATTTGAATCATAAAACAGTCAGTGAAATACAGCTCAGATTTACTTCTACCTTTATAGCAGCTTATTAGTATTTTCTCTATGATCCTTTGCTAATTATTGACCTGTTGTAAAAGGCTACAGTACATCTCTGTATGTTGTTGTGGGGATTTGTGATTCACTACTGCATCAACATTTGAAGTAACTTTGACTAAAAATAAGATAATATTTTTTCACAGTGTGAAGATTTCCATCTGACTAACAAAATAAATGTTCTCACAGTTTATAATGACAAAACTGTCAGCAGCATGTTGAAGAAACTGTCCTCTAATGAGATTTAATTCCCAATCAAAGTAAAACAAGGATCCTGTTTATAATCTGCTCCACATTAAGAATGTCAGAGACAAAAAAATTAAGAAGCAAGAAAAGTCAATTTACCTGTTGAAGTCAGTAGAGAAGAAGTTGTTTTACTGTTCTTGGTTAAGCTTGTCCTGTCAGTGTTGTTCTGTCTGCCTGTGCTGACCTGCAGGGTTTTTATACAAACTCTTCATGGCCCTCGACAGGAAGTGGGACGGTCTCAGTGTTGTGTAAACCACTGTGATGATGAAATACTGTACTTACACGCTGCTGCCATTAGAAAGTGTCCTATGTGATTATGACACATGCAAGCAAATGCACATATTAAGGCTATGTTGCACATAATGTTTAATCGGGAGATATCAGATATGCCATGCACTCTACACAGGTTTATGCATTGATTATAAATGTTTTATGATTTCTTTTTTAAATAATAATATAACACTAAACATGAGATATTCTTCACAATAATAGTAGTAGTAGATAGATAGATAAAAGGACTGAAAACATGGAGAAACATACAGACAGTTTGGCTCAAATTCTGTCAGAATGTGTTTTTTTGTTTTGTTTTTGTTTTTTAAGCAAGTTGTGGCTGGATTGTATTAAAAGCCTGAATAAAAAAATCCTGCATTAGCCTCTGGAGTCTCAGGGTGACCCCTCTACTGACCCTGTGTTCAAACTGTAATGAATCTAATAATAATAATAATAGTGTTAGATATGTTTTGATTAGTCACCGGAGGCTAAAATATGGTTAAAAGTACACGATTCTTTTGATGATCTTTTCTCTTATTTCCTAAGCTTTTCACATCTTTTTGTGGTTTCGTGGTTTTTTAGGTTTAAAAAAAAAAAAAATTCCAGCTAACATAGTAGACATATTACTTGTTGAGAGTTGTGTAACCATGGCTGAGTCTGATATTACTTCACTTCCCTGTGATGCAGGTGGAAGCTCCGTCACGGTGGTGGAGATGAATTAACGGGCTTTGACTAGTAGTGAATTCACACTGTCTGGAGGGGGGAGGGGTTTGCTGGAAAACATAATGTTTGTGAGATTCATTTCAAACACTGAATGTGTTTTATATGATAATCAAAAAGAAAACAACACTAAACAGTCAACGTTTTCAACTTACATCATCCAACAACAACCAAACTATATTTATTTTATGTTTAAAAGTGTATCTGACCTCATTCTGCCTGTGAAGAGTCAAACAGATGCCTTAGGCTACAAGGTGAAGAGGTTTTTAAGTACTGTATATTTAACTTTAACTTAAATTTAACTTAACTTTTAGTTCTATTATATTATTTCTTATCTTTTTTTTCATTTTATTGTAACTTCCTGTTTCAGTAAAACCTCAGACACTTGTGGTTTGTTGTTCGCACTGATTGGTTCATATTTGGTCTCTCACTGCCTGCCTCTCTGTACCTCCATCTTTTTGTCTTTTTTCTTTTTTTTTTTTACATCAACAACCACAATGTGAATAAATCTTGGACTTTATTTTGTCATCTTTGACATTTTGTAGTTGTAGTTCTAGTGCTTATTTGCAAATGTTAGCATTCTAACACACTGCACTGATGGTGAACATGTTAGCATTGTCACTGTGAGCAATATTCTTGTTATTTTTTTAATAAACATATGTATGCAGAGTGTAACTCTGCATGATAATTTTCAGAATATTTGTCAAAGCAAATGTTTAAATGTGAAGTTTATATTATAATTTCTTGAATGACATCAAGAAAATCATTGTGTGCATTAATTCCCAGACAGTTCCACTTCAGGCTATGGAGGTCCACATTTTGCACATATTATAAAATAAGAATAAAAAAATAATTCCTCCTTTGTTTTTTCATAATGATAAGAGATAGTGGTCCCCACTTAGTTGGTGTAGCCTGATAGTCCACTATTGGTAAGGTAGGCATGTATTTGTGTTTGTTAGTATGTCTATCCACATTAGATATTATTGGAGGGTGTGTGACATGTCGTTGGTCTTTCTTCTTTAATTTCTGCTGACTAATGTTTTCTCTGCCCTCAGCATCAGAAAATTGTTTCTTTCAGTGTTGGAGCAGCACTTTCACATCCCATTAATGTTTTATTTTTTTGTTAAAATGGAGGAAGCAAGGAAAAGTTGAGATGACGCGCTGATTAGACATAGAGCGATCATTTCACACATCTTTAATGTGGATCCACAGTCATTTAATTACGGTTGAATAATGATGTCACGCTTGTGATGACCGAATGGAGGAGAGAGAGAGAGAGAGAGAGAGAGAGAGAGAGAGAGAGAGTCCACCTCGCAGTTTATTCAGTATGTTATTCTGCAAGAACATATATGATTATATACATTTTTAAGTTCATTTAGATTTCTGTGAAGTCTTTAAATCTCTTTAAATTAACAACAACTTCATGTATTTTGTATTTTTAAAAAAAATATATTTTCTTGTTTTTTGTTTGCAACCATGATAAATGCCAAAATAAAAAAAAAGAAAAAGTGGTGCAACATCCTATCAAAAAATTTAAATGCAAATATTAAAATTGCTTTTCTTAGTTATAATTAAGATAATTAATTTGTCTTCTTCTTATCATTATTATTGTAATTAATACATTTTTTAATGTATTCGGACTGCAATCAATAACAGTGACAATCGGGTAAGAAACTATTACTCAAATACTGAAACTGAAAACAATAAAACAGAATATCACAGTCCAGGAATGTGATAGCCGAAGAAATCCAGCCCACACATTCACTGTCATCAAGAACCTCATTTCCCTCGATGATGACCTACACATGGCCAGGGGTGTAACCTTCCTGTGCTGAATTTCCCCAACAAAGATCTTAAAGACATGATAAGCAGAGTCCTCGCTGATGGTTTCTTTGCTGACATCCTGTCAAAAACATGTGAATCACTGCTCAGAAGTCATTGTACTGCATATGCAATAGGTGATTTACTGGGTGGAGGTGACCAATTAATAGTCTACACATAGATTACGCAACCTCAGTAAGATGCTCAGAGCAAGACAATGGTTAAATGCTGGGTAAGTATTTAGGTAACTAATGATTTTGATTAATTTACATGGTTAAAAACTAAAAGGTACGTTATTATGTAATGAATTTCTTTTCACGTATATTTCTCAGTCCAAATTAACTCTAGTTTGTACCTTTCATGTATTAGTGTACATTCAGGTCATTAACGTAACCATTATTTTTTCTCAAAGTTAATCTTCTGGCATTGTTTGAAAAACCCAGGAGGTTGTTTAATTTTTTTTTTTTTTAGTATTTTCAGATTCCTGAAACACTTCTGAAGAAAAGAAATTAATTATTTTTGCTGACTTTTGCTTTGTCTTGATTCAGTAACCAAGGTGTAATGTGGGAAAGAGGTTAAAAATATTTTCACTGGACAGTAATGTTTTTCAGTCAGGTGGTTAAGGTAGCTGTGGGGCCTATGAAAACACTGTCAGAACAACTGTGTTTTTAAATAACCTTCTTGGTTTTTCAAACAATGCCGGTTAATTAGGTTTTGAATAAACTGATTGTTACCTCTGTGACCTAAAGTTATGTTAGACAGAAGTGAATTTATAGCAGCATTATGTAACTGCATAATACAAATAGAAAAATAATGTTGGCCATCCTGCAACAGTATTCTAACTCGGCGAGTTGAGAAAGATGTAACGTGAAAGTCGGCCATCAGTGGGAACAAAGGAATCAATCAGAGACATAAAATGTTATTTTCCGAAGCACAAATAAACCCGCTCACACCTCCGCAGCCAAGGCGACCCTCAGTCTGCTCTACCTGCGATATCACCCGAGAGAGAATGATCTTGTGCTGAATATCAGCACGTCTGTGATTCGGTCATAGGTACGAGGCCACATCCTGTGGTTAAGGTGTGTCTCTGAAGGGAAAAAGCACAAACTCTCCTCTGACGTCACTCGTTGAGCCAGGTTCACTCCCATCACCCAAGTAAATTTGACTTTCTCGTGTCAGGTTGTGCAGTCAGCAGGCCTACAGTAGCTTGGTTAATATTACTTGATGTGAATAATCAAAGTTACAAATGGAAATGAGGATACATGATTACAAACAAACACCAAGTAACAGATTAAATAGAAGGTGACATTTTAAAGTAAAAGCACTTAAATAATACTTTATCGTAGAATTTAAACAAATAATGACGGTAATAATTACAAGGTCAAAAAATCTTAATCTTTTTTTTCAGTTTCTGATCTTTTGACAGAACACATCTTATTTGACATCAGGTGCTAAAATCAATCAAAAATATATTGAAATACAATATATTAGAATATATATATTGTTCAATAAATTAGTTTCAAACAGTTTTGAGACTTCTACATTCTCCCCTTTAATTGAAACAGTCTTTGTTTGTTTTTTTGTTTGTTTTTTTACAGTGTTTTTTATTTTACCTGGAGCGACTGTAAATGATTTTTACTTTTATCTTTAACTTACATTCAAAATTTGACTTTACTATCAGTTTGATAAATACAGGCCCAGACCATGTGAATGTCTGACTTCGAGTTGCGTAACAGTAACAGTGTCGGGAACCTGTTGAGACCTCAGTGTGGAGGGCGTTGGTTGTCCACCGCCCTAACTCGTCTGCTGAGCCGTCTCGGGGAGAAGTGGTGGATATAATTTAATACAATAAGAATCATATGACGATTGATGTTCAAATTATAAAACCTCATTATAAAACTGGTCAAACTGTCAAACTGTTTCTACATTGTACTCGCCCACGTGTACACTAAGGGTGGTTTCATCATATCCTGCAATTAGTGTATGGCACACTGGATTTTCTCCTTTATCTCTTCCAGTCTCCTGGTATCTTCTCGTTGATGACTCACGTCCGCCCCGCAGAACCAGTTACATAGACAGAATTCCCAGTGATGTAAAAAGGGGAGGAGGAGCAGCGTTGGGGTTTCTAAATGGTCAGAAGTCAAACCACTTCCCTAACCTGCCGCGTTTCACTTCCTCCTCCACACAAGGAGCCCGCATGTATGTATACTCTATGCGTAACAAACCTGCCGCGCTGTGTGTGGGTGTGTCATTCATGTTACTGTATGTAGGATTTACAAGCAGATAATGTTATCTGATTTTACTGGCTTCCAGGTGAGCAAACGGACTTGTTCAAAGCCAATAATATCAGAGTTA